CCAACATTGGACACTTCCAATATTAGACACTTCCATCATTGGACACTTCCAATATTAGATACTTCCGACGTTAATCATAGTCGCAACATTCAGGAGGTGAACTGGAATGAACTTAGAGCGAAGATTTGGAGTGTAGCTGGTCACAAAGACTACTCGACAACGATTCCAGTGCTATTTGCGGCCAGCCTGAGAGACCGTCTTGGTATAATACATGCGGCCATCAAACGGTTACAATATATGGGTGGTGAAGTTATGTCCCAGTTAGTGTCTTTGGAACCGGTCTTAATCTCCTCCAGAGCAAGTCAACCAGACGGCGGGTCACTCCCGACCGCACCAAATAGTTCAGGACGTGGTTCGGCTGCAGGACACGTTTCACCAAGCAGAGACCCGGAAGTTAGTTCAGCACACCAGAAAAAAAGGAGAACCAGCAGTCGAGGCGAGGCTCATGGGAGTCAGGGCTCAGGACCTCCTCCCAGGAATAACTCCCAGGCGTGCGGCGACTCGGGTGCTAACTCTGTCCGGGACTCGGTCAGGAGCTCGGTCGCTCCCGATACTTTCGACGAACGACGCTTTCTTTACGACTCCTTTATGGCCCACTCAGCCGCCGGCAAACACAGGAATAAAGGATCGAAGTTCGGCGGGTTGGAAAGCCGAGAGTCCATCGGAGGATCCAGATCTGAGATATCTCGATTGAAAGAACTTAAAGTGACTGAATCACATTTCACACACACACTGCGGAAAGCAAGGGGAAACAAGAGCAGAGGAGGCACACCGGATCTGCGCACCACCTCATCGGTACAAGTCACTCAGCAGGTACTTGACTGTGGTGCATTTGATTCTAGTGTGTTCGATTCTGATCGGGCCGTCGGAATTCTAGGACGTGAAGTTTTCCACCCAGATCTCTTTCAAGCGGACTTTCTCGAGTTAGACAGAACCGCCGGAGACACGGAATGGCTGGAGGAAATATCCGACCTTCCACCAACCTTAAGAAATACACCAACTAGAAAGGACTCGCCTGGAAAGGACTCGCCTCAGTCGTTCCTTGCAAAGCCTGGGTCTCCGACTCGCGGGGTGGAGACCTCGCACGGGTCACCGACGATCATCGTCAACCCATTTCCGGCTCCGTACTTCTCTCCGTTCGTGCCGGTGTCTCCGCGACCCGTGTCAGAGCGATCCTTGTCGAACCGCGGCTCAATGGACCGAAGCTCAGTGGACAGAAGCTCAGTGGACCGAAGCTCAGTGGACGCCGGTATGCCTTGTTGCTCGTTGGCCGTCAGTATGTCTCGTGGTTCTATGCCTCGTGGTTCAGTGCCACACAGCATCCGAATGCTTCACGGCGGCACGGCGTCTCCCGGAGGCAGCAGCATCGAATCCACAGAGGTGCATCATGCCCCCAACGACCATGCCTTCAGCGACCGCTCTGCCACCGAAGGCAGAAGCGAGCCAGCTACTCAACTAGGTGACGAGCCAACTACTCGACTGGTTGGCACAGAGCTTGACGGGATGATCACGGTTGTGCGCGAAGTGGGCATGGACGATCTTACAGGCTCGGGGTTCGTGCAGCCAGCCGTCGATATACAGTGCTGTCCGAATGACTCGTGCCGTCGGGACGACATTGTCGACAGACTGAGGCAGGCCCTCACAATTGTCCTCACAGACTCCGAAGACGCAGACTCCGAAGACGCTGTCACTGACCCTCTGTGTGCTGCCACTGACCCTCTGTGTGCTGCCACTGACCCTCAGGATGCCGTTGTCGAAAATCACTCCGTAGAGGGAAATCCCTTGGAGAAAGATTCGGGAAACAACTCCGGAGAGGCGGAAGGGGCAAGGGTCCGAGACGTCCGGCCCGACGACCAAGGCTGGAGTGACTGGAATGAATGGAAGAAGACCAGTCCGTTACTCAACGAGGATTTGGGACTATTGCCCTTGGACATCCTCAAGAAAGTCGCAGTCATGCTAGGCCTCAAATCCAACGTAGGCACACACATTCTTCACAGAGCTGGGACTCGTGTCGAAGACAGTGATCGCCGGCACTTGCTTGCCCGTAAATAAGTTCCCTCCAGCCAGTGATTTGGTACCTCCGTAGTCTAAAAAAGAGATCCTAAAGGACTTAACATACATTG